AAGCAAGTCTATAAGCATTAAAAGGCCATCGTACCCTACTCCTCAACCAAATGAAGGATGATCCAAAAGAATTCCAAGACCAGGAAGGGTTTCCTCACCAAAGCCAGGAGTGGCTTCTAAAATAATACTCATAAATAAAGATTGAGCAAATAACATCATGGGAATAGATCTCTCAACCAATGATGACAATAAAGAGCAAAAGCAATGAGAAAAAGAAAAGCTTCGTAAATGTTGAAAAAGTCGAAGCATTTAGAAAAATAGTAGAAAAAGGGAAGCTTCAAACATGAAAGAGTCGAAGCTAAACAAAAATGAAATTTAGAAAAAGCCTACCACATGCAGACGCCTGGAGAGGCATTACAATACTTGCATGGCAGGAGCAACACTAGAATCCTTGTCATCCATCTATTTTTTCCCACCAACATAAGGGCACATCAAGCATCTCCTGCCCATCCTCCTTGGGGTAGCAATTTTTCATCCAACTACACCAATAAGAAGACATCAAGTACAAGCTCGGAAAGGGTTGCTAGATCCCCAAAACTTGGGGGGGGGGAAAGAGGCTGAGGGAACCTCAGTCCCTCCAGGTGCCGAGGAGGTGATCTCCAAGGCCGCTGATGCTGATGCGGTGGATGTCACTGAGAGTCCACCGCCCCAGGTGGCTTCTGAGGAGGTGGCTCAGATTGCTGAGCCTACTAGGCAGGCCGTCGAGGTGGAGGCCCGGACTTCCGGGCAGGCTGCCCGAGTTGCTGAGGTGGTGAGTATCATCTTTCTCGGACTTTCCCTTTGCCTTTTGTTATGCTGTCCGGTTGTCCGATCTGGGTGATTTTTTACAGGCAGGAAATACCGCTGAACCTGAGGTGCAGGCCGCTGAGCTGGTCGCCCAGGCTGCTGAGGTGGGTGGTGTTTTGTCTTCTTGTTTCTGTGGTTTCTCGTACATCACATTGCTTGTTTTTGATGTGGGACTGGTTTTTTGCAGGCGGGGCCGGGGGTCCCTAAAGTGGACTTTTTAGGTGCTGAGCGGGGAGTACCGTCCTCTACCACGGATTCGGCGCCGCAGGCGGGCTCCTCGTAGAGGCCTGCCCGGACTCAATACCTATCCCATCGCTTTGGGAAGGGTATAGATAAGGTGCGGCTGGATCACATGAGCGCCTCCGCCGACATGGATTCATTGTGGAGCGCGGGGGTGACTGCGGAGGGGTTCTTCCCTCAGGGTTCGCTGAGCTCCGAGGATCGGGGATTGATAGACAGGGTCGGTCCCGAGGACAGCCTTGATGCTGCCCAGGTCATGCTGCAGAGAGTGATGGGTATAGTGAGCCACTAAAAGCCTAAGTGGGGCCAACAGCGGGAGGATTTGGCTAAGCAGCAAGAGGACCTGGCCAAGTTGAGGGGCTGACTTCAACCTTGGAAGGAGGCAAACAAAATCCTGAGGGAAGAGAATAAAGCTCTTAGCGCAGCCCTTGGTGAGGCGAAGCGGCACGAGGCTGAGCTCCGTTCTGCGCGTGGCGACCTTGCCCGGGTGCAGAAGTCTCTTGAGATTGCGTTGCGATCCAATGAGGCTTATGCCTCTCAGGTGGGGGATCTGCAAGAGCTCGTCGTCTTCTCTCGAGGCCGCGCTCGCTCCTTGGAGGATGAGGTGACCTCTAGTCGTGGCCAAGTACGGGCTCTGGAGGACATTGTGACCTCTCTTAAGGGCGAGTTGGCGGCGGCGGCTGAGGAGCGCCTCCGTAACGAGGTCATTCTTGGTGGTCGTGAGGACGAAATTTCCACCTTGAAGGCGGAGCTCGCAGAGCTGGTGGCGGGGAGGGCGACCACGGACAAGAGGCTCGCGGAGGTCGAACGCTCCGTTGTGGTTGAACACAAGAGGGGCTTCCAAAAGACTGCTCGTCAGGCTCGGCTTCTTGCTCCCGGATTCGACTTTTCTTCCATGCATGTGGAGAAAGTCGTCCGCTTTGGGAGGCTAGTCAAGGAGGACGATGCCGACGACAGTTCTGGCGGGGATGCTTTAGCCTAGGCCGCCTTTGTAATAGCATGATTTATTTTTCTTTGGCTTGAATTGATGTACCGAATTTTGAGAACTTTGTTTGTATATATATATTTTGCTCTATCTTGTCCGTATTTGCGTTCAATTTTGGCTGTTCGCGCTGTTTGAGGCACATGTTTGGTGTTTGCTATATGCTTTTGTATATGGTGATACTTCTACCTTGAGTTGGTGAAGTCGAGATTCGAGGTCGGCCTTAGTTTTTGTTTAGTAGGACTTTTCGTGGGAGTTCGAACCCGGTCGTAAATGAATGTGTTAAGATTCGTATCCGATCTCGAATTTTGACTAAGTAATTGTTGTGAAAGTTCATAAATGACCTTAGACTGGAGTCAAGGTCCGAATTCGACCTTAAGTTGGTCGCGCCGGGGTTTGAATTCGACCCCGGTATTGAGAGTGAGGTGTGCTTTGCCAGGGTTCAAAGTCGTCCTCAGGTTAGCGGTTTGGACTCGACCTTTAACCTCGACCTTTATCGGGAGCATTGAGGTTCGTACTCGACCTCGAAAATGTCGAGGTTCGGACTCGACCTCAATTTTGGGATATGCTGTTTAGTTAAGGTTCGAACTCGACCTTTAACGAGAGACTCAAGGTTCGTGCTCGACCTCAGGTTTGAGATAGATTATTTAATTAGGGTTCGAACTCGACCTTAGACAGAAGCATCGAGGTTCGTACTCGACCTTGGACAGAAGCATAAGGTTCGTACTCGACCTCAGGTTTTCATGTTCGAGGTTCGTGTTCGACCTCACTTTAAAATGAACAACGTAATTAAGGTTCGAATTCGACCTTATGCTGAGAGTCCCGAGGTTCGTACTCGACCCCAGATTTTCATGTTCGAGGTTCGTGCTCGACCTCGCTTTAAAATGAACAACGTAATTAAGGTTCGAATTCGACCTTATGCTGAGAGTCCCGAGGTTCGTACTCGACCCCGGATTTTCATGTTCGAGGTTCGTGTTCGACCTCGCTTTAAAATGAACAACGTAATTAAGGTTCGAATTCGACCTTATGCTGAGAGTCCCGAGGTTCGTACTCGACCCCGGATTTTCATGTTCGAGGTTCATGCTCGACCTCGCTTTAAAATGAACAACGCAATTAAGGTTCGAATTCGACCTTATGCTGAGAGTCCCGAGGTTCGTACTCGACCCCGGATTTTCATGTTCGATGTTCGTGTTCGACCTCGCTTTAAAATGAGCAACGTAATTAAGGTTCGAATTCGACCTTATGCTGAGAGTCCCGAGGTTCGTACTCGATCCCGGATTTGCATGTTCGAGGTTCGTGTTCGACCTCGCTTTAAAATGAACAACGTAATTAAGGTTCGAATTCGACCTTATGCTGAGAGTCCTGAGGTTCGTACTCGACCCCGTATTTTCATGTTCGAGGTTCGTACTCGACCCCGGATTTTCATGAAAGAGGCCAGCGTGTCTGTGATATGGTGTTGGTTATGTGATGTTTGGGAACGTTCGTATGCATGACATGGTATTAGATGTGTGATGCGTCGGTACGATCGTATGCGTGATACAATGCTAATAATGAAATGCATTGGCATAGTCATGTGTGTGACACGATGCTAGACGTGTGATGTGTCATTAGGGGCGTGTGCGTGAAACGGTTGAATGATGTTGAGCATGTTTGAATGATGAATATTGTGTTACTATATTATTGTAAATTGAGATTATTTTGTGGAAATTTCCTACTGTGCTTTTCATGTAAATGTCTCCTTTCTCACCATATGTTTCGTGGTTGTTTTTAAGTGAAAAAGATCCGGACTTGAGTGGCATTCAAGGTGCCAATAGTTAATTCATGAGATTGCTCTGATAATGTGACATTGGGGCAAGTGATTTTAGATTATTCATTTTATTGTAATTGAATTTTATATTTATTTGATAGTTGAGTTTACGAACTTATATTTTCTAATTTTTGTTTAAAATTACTTGGACAGTAGAAAGTATTTTGGTATGTGAACCATTTTACCCGTGTTGAAGGAACTATTCTTTATTATTATATTATATGTTGGGGGTAAAATGGGTGTCACAACTACCACTCCTACTCCCCAATTTGCACCATCTTTGAAAACTACGTCAGTATTTAATTGATTTCAATGGATTTATGATTTATGTTATAAGATTTTAAAGGATTTTATAAATTTCATAGAAAAACATGGATTTTTAATATTGTAAGATTTAATAAAAAAATATAACATATATAAAATTATATTAATCCTTCATATATTGACATATGCACTTAAGTCTAAACAATATGTTTAAAATTATGGTATTCATTAAATAATAGCATTAAATATGAAGATTCATCCACTAATTTAATTAAAAATTCATTGGAATGACATTCTTTGCAAATAAAGTTATGTAGTATTATATGTTAATATAAGTTTGGTTTATGTCTTAAATAGAAATAGTGACATTGACTTAAAAATTGTGAAACATGATTTAAAAAATAATAAATATCCTCTCAATCACATTTTTAAAGGATACATGACATAAATTAAAATTTTCATTTTCATTTTCATTTTGAAGGTCATTATCATGACCTGCAAAATCTTTTTAATATATGTTTTCAAATTTTATATTTCAATATTAAGTTTTATTAAAAATAAATGGTTAAATTTTAACAATTTAATGATAAAAAAAATTCAATAATGCATAAATAATTTTTAATATTTAATAATTAAAAAATAAATATTTATAAATTATACATCAATTGACAGAAGAAGAAAAAGCTACTGTGCTTTTCATGTAAATGTCTCCTTTCTCACCATATGTTTCGTGGTTGTTTTTAAGTGAAAAAGATCCGGACTTGAGTGGCATTCAAGGTGCCAATAGTTAATTCATGAGATTGCTCTGATAATGTGACATTGGGGCAAGTGATTTTAGATTATTCATTTTATTGTAATTGAATTTTATATTTATTTGATAGTTGAGTTTACGAACTTATATTTTCTAATTTTTGTTTAAAATTACTTGGACAGTAGAAAGTATTTTGGTATGTGAACCATTTTACCCGTGTTGAAGGAACTAGGGGTGTCGCGGCATAGGCTGTCGACGAACAATCCGGGTTTCAGTGCCATGAGCATGGCGTGCAGGGCGACCTCCGGGTTTAGATTCCGGATCCGAACAGAGATGTTGGAGAAGCGCTCCATGAAAGCTCGCAGATATTCATCATCGTTCTGCCTGAGGTTGGCCAAGGCGGCCGAGGTTGTGTGGTGAGGCCGGCTGGTGGCGTATTGTGCCACGAAGCGCCGCATCAAGGTGGCAAAGCTGTCGATGGATCTGGCTAGTAGTTGGGTGTACCAATGAAGCGCGGGTCCCTTGAGTGAGGTCGGAAAAACCCTACACAATATAGCGTCGCTGTTAGTGTAAAGGTTTACCTGAGTTGTGTACGAGTCGATGTGCTCGTCGGGGTCCGTGGTGCCGTCGTAGCGGTCGAGGTGGAGGGGCTTCCACCCGTGGGACAGTGGGGTCTCCATGATGCCATCAACAAAAGGATGACGGCGAAAGGGTTCTTGGCCCTCGGAGACATGGGTGGGGGCCCTGCTAGTACCCTGCCCTTATCTGTGCGTTGATGCATGAGACCGGTGCGTGGCGGGCCGTGAAGTCGGTGCCTTGGTCGTCGCCCGGGATTGGGAGGCTGAATGTGTCTCCTCTTCATGAGTGTCGCTCTCGTGCAGAGGTTGTTCGGAGTGGTGTCGAGGGAGCTGGGCGCGAATGCGCTCATTCTCGGCACGTAACGCTGCGAGGTCTGCTTCATTAGCAGTCCGCATCGCTGCAAGGTCATTTTCGTGCTGGGTGCGCATGTTTTGAAGGTCGGCGTCATGCTGTTGTCGCATCTGCTCAACTTGGTCGATCAGCCGCCTTAAGGTCGCAGCATCGCTGTCCATGGTGACTGAGTGTGTAGCGTCTTCTGTTGCTCGTCTAATGTGGCTTCTAGTAGAAACCATATAGGTGGCCGATGAGGGCTGTCTCTATCGACCCCACGGTGGGCGCCAAATGTTCTTACCGGAATTTGGTCGTAGGGGTGATCCGTCCAATAAGATCGGTGAGTCTCCTTTGCTTGATGTATTGGTGCTCCAAGATGGGGGAGGTACCCGCAAAAGAGACTCCGATGCCAAAGTTAGGGTTTGCATGAGTAATAGTCTCATATATATAATGCACGTACCTTGAGGTGATCTAGGTTTGCCTTGGGCTTTTGAGCTTGAGATAAGATATATCATGATATGATATGATATAATTGAAGGGAGGATCTGGTCTGGGACGAGATCCTCGGAATCAGGTATGATTTGCTCAAATACCGGGCTGACGTCGCGCAGCGCGTGCCCGGGGCTGTTTTGTATTGCTAATCTGGGCTCGGAGCCCGGGTGCGAAGTACGGTTAGTACATTATCTATTAAATAAAATTATTGATTAAAAGATAAAATATATAGAAATTTTTAGACTTAATTTATTGAATAAGAAATTCAATATATAACGTAATTACATTCATTAAATAACTCTTTTAAGAGTTACTTTTGAAGTAACCGAATTTTCACTCATATATTTTTTTAAACCAACATATATATATATATATATATCATCATAAATGTTAAATATAATTATATACTATCGGTGTAAATTTTTTTTAAACTGATAACTAATTATATCTTTTAATTGTATTATGTCACTGTTAAAAATAAATGTGTTTATAGTGACATGACACAATTAAAAGATTTAATTAATTGTTAGTGTAAATAAATTTTATATTAATAATGTATAAATGATTAACTTTAATGACAATGCATTCACAATAATATTCATCTAATCACGATTCATATAAATTATAAGTTTATTCACGTATTTAATAATTAGTGTAAGTACTTATGTAATGCACGCAATAAACTATGTGTATATGATATTTTTATTTTATAAAAAAAAATTTTAATTTTGAAAAATAATAAATGTAAGAAATTTAAATATATATTAATATAATATAGCAATAGAAGTTGATTTTTTTTATCATTGTCAAACAAACCATAATACGATGAAAATAAGAGTTTATAGTGTTCATTACTTCAATTTGAAATGAAAATAATAGGAATTAAAATGAAATACGTAATATTGTAATTTTGAATAATTATTATCTTTAATAATAACTATGTGTTGAGTATTTAAGTGTTTTAGAGGATTTGTTAGAAGAGAGATTCATTTATTATTTTAAAAGTAAGTCTATTTAAATTTATTCTGTTTAATAATTCATGTTTTACATCAAATTTCAACGATTCAACTGTTGAATTTAAAGTTTTTAATGTATAGATCAAATTTGCAAATTTTTAAATAGGGGACCACCAGGTCCAAAATTATAATGAAAAAGTGTCGGTTTATTGTTGTTAAAGTCGTTGTTAGTTTCATGAATCTGGTGGGATACATTATGTAATAATTAAGTTATGGGATACAAGTGTTATCCAAGATTAAAAAAAAGTATGGGTTCATGAGTTTAATAGATTAATGATTAGAGTTAATCACTTACTTATATACTATCGGTGTAAATTTTTTTTAAACTGATAACTAATTATATCTTTTAATTGTATTATGTCACTGTTAAAAATAAATGTGTTTATAGTGACATGACACAATTAAAAGATTTAATTAATTGTTAGTGTAAATAAATTTTATATTAATAATGTATAAATGATTAACTTTAATGACAATGCATTCACAATAATATTCATCTAATCACGATTCATATAAATTATAAGTTTATTCACGTATTTAATAATTAGTGTAAGTACTTATGTAATGCACGCAATAAACTATGTGTATATGATATTTTTATTTTATAAAAAAAAATTTTAATTTTGAAAAATAATAAATGTAAGAAATTTAAATATATATTAATATAATATAGCAATAGAAGTTGATTTTTTTTATCATTGTCAAACAAACCATAATACGATGAAAATAAGAGTTTATAGTGTTCATTACTTCAATTTGAAATGAAAATAATAGGAATTAAAATGAAATACGTAATATTGTAATTTTGAATAATTATTATCTTTAATAATAACTATGTGTTGAGTATTTAAGTGTTTTATTATATCTTTTAATTGTATTATGTCACTGTTAAAAATAAATGTGTTTATAGTGACATGACACAATTAAAAGATTTAATTAATTGTTAGTGTAAATAAATTTTATATTAATAATGTATAAATGATTAACTTTAATGACAATGCATTCACATTGTATTATGTCACTGTTAAAAATAAATGTGTTTATAGTGACATGACACAATTAAAAGATTTAATTAATTGTTAGTGTAAATAAATTTTATATTAATAATGTATAAATGATTAACTTTGAAAAATAAATGAGTGGTTTTTTTATCCTAAAATTTTGGTATAAGTTGCTAACATACTCCCACTAAAAAATAGGTGGGAGTATATTAGCATTCCCTTTTAAAAAATTATATTAACTAATATTTTTTATACTTATATAAAATAAAAGTTGTTAGCGCCTTATTTTTTTGTTTCCCTCTTAAACACTAAGCCCCTGTTTGTTTTCGTTGATTTACTGTTTATGACGAACGAAAGGTGAAGAAAGTGCACGTTTGTTTCCGTTGATTTGCACGGAAAGAAAAGTGAAGAAAAGCGGGAGAACCCGCGTTGCCATTCCTCGCATTTTTGCGAAGAAAAGAGATGAAAGCCACGTAAGAATTGAGAAAACCCGATAATACCCATGTCCCAAAGGCTGAAAAGAGATGAAGAATGGAGGCCCATAATCGATTATGCATGGCACATAATCAATTTTGGTGACATATTTTCGCAAATATGCGAACTCAGAATGGGCCATTCCAACACTGGATTTTATGAGCAATATGCGAACTCAGAACGGGCCGTTCCACTTTGGGAACAAGCCGTTTCAAACATGGCCGTTGTGGTTTAATTTGTAATCCTAGAGCGGGCCATTCTGGTCATATTTAATTATTGTTTACTTAATTGATGATTGAATTGTGTTTTCTGTTCCATTTTACAAATATGTTATTACCCATCTACTTTGTAATGTTAAAAATTTCTTAATTTTTTAATTGTTAAAAATTAACTTGTACAATTAACAAATGTATCTTCATTTCATTCTAATTTATGTCAATGATTTATCAATTTTTTTAATTTATTATTTAACTTTCAAAAAATTTATTGTACATTTTTTTTATATTAAGAAAATTCTATTATTTAAGTATTGATATCAAAAAGTGGAAATATAAAAAATAAAGTAATACATGTTTATAAAATTAAAATAATAACACTTTCATAAACATTAATAAAATAATGTTAGAAAATATAATTATCATAATATATTTTGTTATTATTATTTATTATTATAAATATTATTATTATTATCATTATTATTAATATTATTATTATTTATTATAATTAGTATCATTATTATTTATTATGATTCTTATTATTTTTCTAATATTTATTATTATTCTTATCATTATTTATTAATTTTTTAATAAATTATACCTATTAATATAATTTTATTGTAATTATTATTATTTACAATAAATAATATTATACTCATTTTTAATCCAAAGATAAAAGTGTAAATTATATATTCATCTATTAAATTTTTAATTTTTATTTATCATTAAATTTAAAGTAAATATTTAAATTAAATTATTTTTAAATTAAGATTTTATATTTATTTTTTAGTTAAAATTTTTATATTTATTTTTTAATTATAATAATTATAAACTTTTTTTTAACCTAAGAGCAAAATAGTAATCTTGCAAAATCATCAATTAAAAAATTTATTTTTATCTATCACATCAATTAATTCACTTACAAATTTTTACAAACTTTCTTTATATTTTTCACTCATTTTTCCTTAATTCAAACAACCTCATTTTTCACTCAATTTTTCTTCAAATCCCTCCTTTTTCGCTCATCCTTTTCGATCCTCAAATCCAAATCCAAACAAAGGCTAACAGTGAAATTGCTTCTTCAAATGTGTGAGAGGTGCGGTGAACTCATAAGGTGTGGTGCTTGTCCGTGGCCGCCCCTTCTCTTCCCAATCCCTACTTCTCCATTTTCACCCTCTCTTCTTCAAACCCAAACCACTCATCTGGTTCACGCGCCCAACCGCTTCGCCCTTCCTCCTCGCTGCCGTCGGCCAGGCGAACCGGACTGCCTCCCTCAAACCACCGCCCCCAAGGTCCTCCCCGGAGACCAGGTACTCAACTCAATCACCAACTTCCAAATTCTCATTCAAATTCAATTCACTTCGTCTTCGCGCGGTTGACTTGCGTGTCATTGCGATTTAGGGCTCTAGCTTCCACGTCCGTCGAAAAATGTTGCCTACCTGAGTTCCGAGCCGCTTTTTGGAAACAGAAACCGTAACCTTTTTGTGTTAATCGATAACCTTGAAATTTATATTCATATCATTTTAGATTATCTGTTATTCTTTTGTTTTAATTCTGACATAGGATATTCCTTTGGTTGAGCCAACCAGTGCTGTGCAAAGATTTATAGTTCATTAAATGCAACACACAAAATCTTGCTGATTCTAAATTCATCATCAACCACAATAGAGATCATTGACAGTGGTTGATAGAAATCAGGGATTCTATTATTGAAATATATGGAAATTGGTTAGAAAAATTCCTGGATCAATTCTCTTCCATCTTGAAGATAAGTCTTCTCAGGCCTAACCAAATTTCAAATACTCCCTCACACACCGTGTCCCCTTTTTAACAACCCACACACATACATTCTCTCTCCAACAAGTTACGTAATGATATGAGGACAGCTCATTCTATTCCAGTTGCCTCACTGACTTGTGTGAACTAGAATGGATGTAAATTATCTCGGCTTAGCAAATTTTGGTTGAACTGGTTTGCCTCCACCCTGTGTCTAGCAACTCTAGCCCTGGGAAGCAGTACTAACAATGATGCTAAAGTAAACCTATGTGTTAATGGAAGCATGATGTTATTGTATATTTATTATGTCCAGTCTATTCATTCATCGGCTTAGCATGTTGCTGTTTATGCTATTATCTCCCTTTTCTTGCCTATTATTTATATCAGGAATTTAATGCTGTATATTTTATTTCAGAGGTTATTTGGCACCAGAGTATGCAACAAGGGGGCAGCTTACACGTAAAGCAGATGTTTACAGCTTTGGTGTCCTCCTTGTCGAGATAGTTAGTGGAAGATGTCACGCAAATACACGATTAGCAATAGGAGAGCAATTTCTTCTAGAAACGGTATGTCTTTTCTATGTTATAGTTGTATTTCACTGTTTAAAAATAATTGTTAGAGGGGAAATAATAAATTAGTTAGTTTCTTGTACTCATCTATCTCCCTATTAATCAGTTGTCACTTCACTGCCAAGATTGTGATAATATAACCTTCTATCCTATGCTTCAAATTCTATGGAAATAAATATGGAATTAATTCAACTGTCAAATTAAAATATTATTCTTGTTTTTTATATGCTTGACTGTTGGGACAGAAGATTGTGCTTTAAAGTATAAACAACAGAATGATTGCACCCTTGATTAATAAATTTGGAGCCACTTTTAGATTATCAATAGTTGTAAACCTCAAAATTGATTTTGTTCTCTTGACAAAGTTATAGTTTCCATTCTTGTTAGTTGTTACTATTCTTTCTATTTAGTTTTCCATTAATTGTCTGTTTATTGTACTCTTTAACATTTAATTGTTATGATAAAGTTATACTCTTCACTATGAGTTGTATTTGATTGGAAACCTTAACATGAATTTTCTTTACTTGATGAAATTATAGTCTGTGTATGGCTCTCTGTTTACATGAATTCCAATGCATGCAGACAGAGAAGCATGTTACTAGGTGACTCCGGGAAAACATCCTTTTGATACTGGACTGATGGAAATACAATCATGCGGATAATCTACACTTTTTTTTGGGTTATAAAGCTCCAGTGATCTGTTCTTATTCTTTTTTTATTTTACTCAACTTTTTCTACTCAAGTTTTCCTCTTATTATCTGTTTATCGTACTCTAGACTCGTATTTAGTGGAAGTTTGTCCATATCTTAATATTCGTTGTTCATTTTATATTTCTTGTATTAGCAGTAATAGCATTCAATTTTTAATTTTTTATATTCATTGTTAGGCATGTTAAGTGCATTCATATGTTATAGATAGCAACACTGATGGGTTGAAGTAGTGATAAGGCACCTTATGTTCACACGTTATGAGAGTGATCTATTTAGCAGAAATTCTCATGTTTGATTTTTGCTATTTGTGAAAATCCTTTGGACCAGTAACAGTTATAGTAGTGTAAGCAAATTAGTTTTGTTCCAGTGGGTTTGGAAATACACGTGACAGGTCTAAAAAAATGTTATAGATAGCAAAGCATTTGCTAAAGTTTCAAAAGCTTGAACTGCAATCTAGCATAAAATTTCATAGTCACTCCTCTTGGAAGGCAACATAACTAATTTTCCTTTCATTTTGAACCATGAAACTGAGATACAAAAATATAAATCTTGCTTGTGTTATTTGCCAATTAGTTCAAATGGCCACGTGTTTTTAAATTACCTTTTTACTGTTGGTCTACTATAATTGTCGTATGCTTGAACTGATATTTAAATTACCTTTGGATTGTTCATTCTATAGGACTGTGTTGCTTTGCTGGCATATGAACAGCCTTCGGAATCCTACTAACTTCATGTAAGGCAAGTAATTTAGTTTGAGCATATTGTGTCATACACTACATCAAAATTTAATTCGCGATTTTCTTGTAATGAGGGTTATAGAGGATCATTCTTAGATAGTAATAGATTATTCTTAGATAGTAATAGATTGGGATGCTCTCACAGTTGTATGACATATCTAATAATTTTGCTCAAACTTTTCTTGCATGTTGTAATGGCAACAGTACAAACAACCAATAAGATAGAGACAATCATGTTGATAACATGTTATGAAAATCAAAGATAAAATTATAAACGGTAATATAAAAGTAATAGAGAAAAATGAGAGAAAGTATGTAGAGAACAACATAAGAGAGATAATAAAAGGGTTTTTTTTAATTATTATTTCCAAAAATGAAATAACTATTTTCATAAATGGTTACAAATAAAGTAATAATATTAAGGTGAAATATAAATAGTAATAATAACAACTATCATTAAATATTCATAATAATGATTTTTTTTCTTCATCTATTAATTGAGTTCTATAATTTTTTGTGTAAATAAAGTGAAGGTTTAAATATGTTTTTTATCCTTAAGTAAAACAGTTGTTCAATTTTAGTATTTTAAATTTTAATTAAGTAATTTTAGTCCCACAAATATTGGAATTATGCAATTTTGGTCCCTCAATTTTAGTCTCTAAAGTACCATTGTGTGGTTTTAGTTAGGGATGACAAATATACTCGTACCTGTGAGTAATACCCGAACCCGTCCTGATTTTGACGAAAAATACCCGGTTTGACCGGGTACGGGTACGGGTAAAGCTGATATATTAAATCGGGTACGAGTACGGGTATGTACTTACTCGCTCCGTACCCGTCCTTGTTTCCATTTTTAATTTAATACTCACTTTCAATTTAATTATATTAAAGAATTTTAATATTTTTTTATGTGTAATTATTTATTATAATATGAGATAGAGAAATAACTTAATTATAATTATAATATAATAAAAAAATAATATAAAAATATTATATATTTTTTTATAAAAAATAAAAAATAAAAAATTGACGGGTACAAGTATACCTCCGAAGGGGACGGGAATGGGGATCAAATCACATACCTGACGGGTACGAGTACGGGGACAAGGATGGATTTGGCTCGCGGGGACGGGGACGGGGACGGGTATCATGAAACCCGTACCCGCCCCGCCCTGTTGTCATCCCTAGTTTTAGTCTCTGAAGTGTCACAATTATACAAATTTTTACGTATTTAAACAACTTTAATCTCTTAAATATTGGAATTGTGTAATTTTAGTTTCTCAATTTTTGATTGAACAATTTTAGTTTCTAAAATATTATTGTATGATTTTAATCTCTCAAGTATTATAAGTATACAAATTTTTGTCTATTTAAGTTGCATATACTAATAATTTTAATAATAATAAATACATATAATTTAATACATGAATAAAATTGAACAATTGTATTATGTTAAGAACTAAAATGCTTAATTAAAATTCTAGAATCAAAATTGGACAATTATAATACTAAAAAGATAAAAATATAATTAAGCCTAAATTTAATAAAAGAGAAATTTCATACGTTACAAAAATTAAAAATGTTAATTTATTTCAATATAAAAAACGATTTTTTCAATAGCAGCCTTAACTAAAATTCGAGAATTAAAATGACCCATATAAACCTATTACAACATAAAAAGAAAAATCAAATCAAAATTTTATAATAAGAAAATAGAAAGAAAAAAAAACATATTTTAGCCTATAATTTAAAAACTCGTTACTATTTAATGGTTTTCGTTTCAATTCTGTTTTACTTAGAACCCCTTCCCTGTGTCCATCGGTGTGCCCTAGCCGCGCCGCTCCTACGCTCACCGACCGGTGACGGCATGCCCTCACCGCCCGCTGTGAGTAGTTTCTGAAGATTGGAATTTGGAAGCACAAACATGTCCGCTTCTGCGTCACAAACGGAAGAACAAGTTTCGACAAGAGAAACCACGAAAGCGCCATCACTGTGTGAAGAATGCAAATCAAACCCATACAAGTACACGTGCCCCGGTTGCTCCTTCCACACGTGCAGCCTCCCTTGCGTGAAAGCTCACAAAGCGAGAACTGGGTGTACCGGAAAGAGGAACCAGACTCAGTTTGTTCCTCTTTCCAAGTTCGATGACAATCTCCTATTATCTGGTACTTTCCTCCTTAAACCTCCTATTCTGTCTCTCAATTTTCATTACATAATAATTGTTACAAAAAACAAACCATCTTTTTTTCATGTCGTGTTAGTTTGAGTGGCAAAAAAAAGTGTGATTTTGCTGCATAGTTCAAGTACCCGTTAGTTATATTTCATAAAAATCACGTCTTTATTATCAGGGTGTGCAAATTATTTTCTCGGTTATTCATGGTTCTTCTTGATTTAATTATTAGTATTTGTATGTGGAATTTTGTTTTTATTGTTCTTCATTCGTCATTTTTATTGTCTGTTGTTGTTGTGTTTGGGTTTTTGTGAATGTGCACGTGGATAGTTTCGTTGGTGGATTCTTCTAATTTTGCTATGTTTATTTATTTTGTGATGTTCTGTGTGTAGATTATAATTTGCTGGAGGAGGTGAAGAGGGTGGCTGAATCTGCTCATAGAATGAGAACCAAATTGGGCATTTATGCATATTTTAAGTTGCCTTATCCCCTTAAAAGCTTAAGGAATGCTGCTGGGAGCCGGAAAACCAAACTGATGTTTCTCCCTAATGGAATGTCGAAAAGAGAGAAGAATCAGTCTAGATATGACAGAAGGTATTTTCATCATTTTATGACTAGCTTTTGTTGCATTAGGAGGATGTTACATGTAGATAATTTCCTCCTTTTTGTAGATAACTGATTATTGTTTCTTTGTTTAGACTTTTAGGTGTTTACGTTATCTATCTTCTATCTATAATATACAAAGTGGAGGTGGAGGTGTGGAACTTCTTTTATAAGTTTTTATCTAGGATTTGATTAAGTAAACTTCAGAAACACTTGAAAGAGGAAAAAGTTAAAACCAGCTTATGTAAAAGTTAAAATTAAGATTTGAAGAAGATAATAGGAGAGAAGTTCTACAAATTTGTTTCTAAATAAGCTAATTTTAGCTTATGGAGAAGTTTATTCATTTTTCCGTCATATTTTCCTCTCTCTTAAAAGTACTTTGGAAAAGTTTGTCCAAACAGATCTCATGTCTTTTGAACACAATGATGGCAAAGGGAAATCTTGGTTATAAGAAATTTCATTTTTAGATTGCTAAGTTGGTAACTTATGTTTCATACAACGCTTTCAGGAAGAAGTTTATATCTTGGACAATTCAATGGCATTTTCACTCAACAGATGTTGTTTTACTAGACCATGGGTGAGTAACATAGATGATGCCTTTGATTTTGAATACAATACTGCACCTTACATTCCTTTTTCATGCTTAGAGTCTGTGGAATACAGTTCTGATAGGTTATTATGCTCATGTTTTCCAGAGTTGATGAAAATGCAAGCTTTTACTCCATTCTAGAGAAGCACCTCAAACCTGGTCCTTGGCATCATCAGCTTAGGCAATTTTGTGAAGTCCCGCCAGATTGTCTCAAGCTTTTCATTCGTAAATACCCGAAGGTAGTTTTCTTTACCCTTTCTGTGGTTGTATTTCAGGATACTAAGCTGGAAAACTTGTAGAATCACTTTGACTGAACACATCAAGATGGTTTGGTTTTAGTTATTAATTTTATCTTGTTCATGTTAATACAGGGTCCTAGGTCACCTTTCAAAGAGTTAGACATGAAAGCTCCAATCAGACAGCAATTAGCGAATGTAGTCATCTTGGAATTTCCTGTTGTTTTTGTTTTCTTGCCATCTCACAAAATCAATTTTGAAGTTATTAAGGAGGTCAATACCAGAAAACATAAATCACTGCAGAAGCATAGTGAAGACAACCAAATCCCACAAGGTGTATCATTTAGAGAGGAGGTGATAGAAGATGACAACAACTCTGCAGATCCTCATGTTTTCGATGTCATGAAGCAGGTGGAATCAAGTTTTTCACATCAAGTGTTTGCCCAAAATATGAGTTCTGAGAAAGCACCAAATGATTCATCAGATAAATCTCTGTTTGAAGGAGACTCTGGGGAAAATCTTTCACATTCTTTGATGGAAACCGGTGAACTAAAATTCCCTGAAGATATGTCATTTGACTTTGATCCAGAGTTGATGAAAATCTATGCTGATATTTTGGATGAGACAAATCCTAATGATTTTTTTGATTTTGATTGTGAATTTGCCAAGGAAACAGAAACTCAAATGGATTTAATTGATACCAGTGAGTTAGTCCCTTTGCCAGATGAATTGGAGGAAGGGGAAATTGCTGAGTAAATGGTAGCTCTATAATTCATTTCTGTTAAAGAATTGGAGAGAAAATGAGAGAACATTGACAACACCAATCAAATTTTTATTTTTTGAGGTTGAGGTTCAGTGCTTTCTATAATGAGCTTCAAGCTGAGTTTCCTGTTTTGTGGACATGTTTGGAAAACTCATCCTTTCCTTTATTTTATATTGAGCATGACAGAGATTTCAGAATTCTAGGTTTTTGGTGATAATTTATCAGCATGAGGAATGGCTGGAATTCCGGGCTTAGAAGCATTAATCACTCCCTAAATCCTTTCTGTAAATATCAAGCTGCTCTACTCCCTGGGGATTCAGACAGAGCATAGAAACTGTGGGTTTTGGTTCCTTTTCTCATCACTTGAGGTCAAATTTTGGTATTGGGTTTCACTTTTGCTTGTCAACCTTATTTTAAGGAGGAACTGCTTTCATACTAAAAGATATTTTTCCAATGTTTGCGATTTTGTCTTTTAACTGTTACTTCATTTTTCTTTTTTGGTAGACACTGCCATCTATTGATACCATACATACTTTAATACATTATCAAGCCGGATTTTAGCATAGTATCTAAAACAAATGATCCGAGAAGTGTAGTATTTTATTTTGCACTGTGAGAATATACTAATATAAAGTTTAATATGACATTTGATCCCTTAATTTTTTTAGAATTTTTAATTAGATTCTTAAACTAAAATTGTAATTGGGTCGTTTGTTTATATTTTTGTGATGTTTATATTTTGTGATTTAGTCTCCCGGGTTTAGTGTGAGGTTGTTGTGCTTAGTAAGAGTCACTGGCTTCAGTGTGAGGTTGTTGTGACTGTAAATGTGGATGAAATGTTTGTACAGTAGTGTTGTGCGGATCAGTGGATTTGGCATGTGTGGTGTGGGTGGCATGCAAGGCATAAGTATGTTAGGTCTGTGTGGAAGGACATATTGTGTTCCAACTCAACAATATATCTTTAATACTAAAGTTTATATAAATCCTTCAAAGTATGTACTGCAAGACACAAATCTAGCTACACACATTTTTGGGTAAACCACATGCTGTTCTTGCTTTCGTATTTTATAAATCATTAATTATCAAACCTAATTTATACTTACTTATAAAGGGGACACATCAACTTATAACTATTTTTCATCTTTACATTTTTTTTTACAATTTTATTTATAAATCTTTAAATATTAAAAATAATATTGAAAATTTATCATTCATGTAATTATCCAAATAAATTAATTATCTCTAGCTACTTAAATCTTCAAGATTTTAACAACATTTATTGCTTAACCTTTATTTTTATTTTATTTTTAAATAAAATATAAAGTATGGAGTGTCTCAATTTCAATATGTCAATATAAAAATTGAGAGATGAAATGCAATATAAAAATTGAGAGATGAAATGCAATATAAAAATTGAGAGATGAAATGGATACAAACCATTGTAGATTGTATTACTAAATTGGTGACTTTAGCACAGTTAGGGATGGATAAATTTCTGAATTTAATAAGTTTTTTTTTTCAAATTAAGTAATTCAGTGTGGTTCTAAATAAATAAATAAATAAATAAAAATTATTGAATTGTGGATGTAATAAACTCATTATGAAATGTTGATTAGAGAAACTAGACTAAGAATAAACCAGTTGTAAAATGTTTGGTTAAATGTGATTTAATTCAGTTAAGTCCTAACTTCTAAGGTCTAGTTTAATTTACATTTTTTTTACTCGCTCCTATTGAAAGATAACTATAAGTGAAACCTATGTGAGAGGACATATGTTAAGAAGCTAAAGTTATGGCTACTTTTTCTTTTTAATGAAAAAAATTATAATTACTCTTACACTAAAATTTACAAGCTATAGAAAAGATAAAGGTACATCTAGATATTTTCATTTTTCTTCCAAAAATTAAGAAAATATATTATTTATAACTCAATAATTATAAAAATCACCTTCCAAATATCATCATTTAGTATTTAACAAATTAAAATAAAAAGTATATAATATTTTAATATTATCCTATTAATCTATTTCTTTTGCATTTTGTATGCCCATTTTATCAACATAAGTGACACATTGTAAATTGATTGGCCAGTCCAATTAAGGTAACCATTTTACACTTATATGCATGTCAATCAAAATTTGTGATTCCATGTTTAAAAGTATAACGAGTTAACAAATACTATTAAAAAGGGTGAAAGTTACTTTTAGTTAACACAAGTCAATCAGATTACCTTTACTTGATCTGTTTTGGTCGTGGCTTCTATTGCTTGCATCAGCAACTCTGAGAAACTTGTTGTGGTCAAACAACTGAAAAAAAGTCCACAAGTGTACCTAATTTGTTTTTGCAAATCTGGATTTTCATCCTTCATTGATGCCAAAACCTTTTTAGCCATTTTTTTTTCTTCCCTTCAATTATTTAGAGTTACCAACCTTAAGAAAAGAAATAACACTACATTTAACTTGCATTTGTTGGAGTGACAAGTGTGAGTGAAAGAAAGGTTTGATTTATGTTAAGTGAGTCTTACAACCACTACCATCTACTTACATAACAAGTTGATGCATAAACTAATAAAAAAAAAAGGTAAAATTAGGCCATGTTAATTTTTGTCTTTTGAAATACTATAAAACAAAAAAAGGGTCACCCAAAAAAGATTAATGTGAGCATATTTGAAAGGATTATCTTGCAAAAATTACTCATAAAATGCTGTTTTAAAAAGCTGCAAATTTTCCCCTCCCAAAGCAATTTAATTTGGAGACAAAAATAGTTTTGGCAGTATTGGTGGTGTTTGTCGCAATAGCAATGGCATTAGCAGACTGAGGAATAAAGAGAAAGGACCATATTTTGCAATTAGTATGACTCTATGAGTGGTGGTAAATGATTGTACTCTGCTGTGTCGTTTTTCACACAAATATCAGCACCAATTTGTATGCAAGTGACATGAAATCAATGATTGAACAATGAAGCATGTGATATGTGGTCATGTGGAGTAGTAGTACATGACATCATTTCCCTACATCAATTTGCAAACACAAAAACATAATGTAAAAAAAAATAAATACTTGCACCAGCCGGGAATCGAACCCGGGTCTGTACCGTGGCAGGGTACTATTCTACCACTAGACCACTGGTGCTTTTATTGATATGTGAGGTTTTTTTATATATATATTACATATCAACGGAGATTCAACCAAGCCTTTTAGTCTTCAGCCATCAGCATCCAATTTTACCTTTTCCTGCATGAGAATGATAATCTTGCGTTTCTTAAAGTATTTTCTTATTTTTTAAAAGATTAATCTTTTGACAAATGGTATTGGTCGAAAATAAAAGTTTTAGTTTTTTTTTAACCAATACTTATGAATTAGAGTCGAATTCAATACTATATAAGAAATTTGAACTTCTTTAACTTGAACTAACGCACTTTTTTCAATCGGTAAAAAAATTTCAATAACCATAACCTATTTTTAATCATTTTAGAGAATCTATAAATAAAGTGATATGATTAACTCTTATATATTAAACACATATCATTATTTTATATGAAAATATTTTTATAAATTTTTCTGTAATGAGAGAATTTATAAGAAAAATTTTAATTTCTCATCTAATTTAATTTTTATTTATCTTAATTATTTATGAATTAAATTTTATATTTTTAAATAAATTATCAATAAATAAAAATAGTTACATGCTATAATATAAATCATTTATTATAAATGTAAAATATAATTTATATAAATTTTAAATATAATTTATATATTTAAACATAATATTTATTTGTATATAATTTATTATAAATTTTATTTACATATAATAAACATTTAACATGTAGAGTATATAAATTAAAATACTAATAACTTTTGAATAAGATAAATAAATGTAATTATGTAACACACAATTACGATTAATTCTTTTCGTTTCCATTTACATCCTTCAAATTTACAAAATTTGGGCGTACGATTATTTGCTATTTGTAAAATATATATATTTCTTATAATAAAAAGGTATTATTTTTATACTATTAATGACTTCTAAATAATTATTATAAAATAAATTTATATGATATTTATATTTAGATAATTATTGAAAATTAATTCACACTATCATTTCATAGACTATTTCTTCAATAGAAAAATTTGGGTGCCTATTTTACAGTTATTACTATTAATATTATAAAAAAAATCATAACCTATTTTTTAAACAAAGAAAAACAGTTTATGCATGGCTTTTCAGCCAAAATAAATTAAAAATAAAATAAAATAACTAAAATAAATTAATTAAAAAACTAATTACCAAAATGAGTTGTTTCTGCTAAGTAGGAGAGAGAGGATCCAAAAAACGTCATTATATATGATGTTTTCTTTAGACAAATTACCCCGTTCATGTTGCGGCATGTACGAGGGAAAACGTCATTATGGTGGATGTTTTCTTTACAAATTTCTTTAAATAGAAGGCGTCACTATGCTAGACGTCTTGTAGTACAGGCACTTTACAAGTGTGTCGTTGGAAAACACTTCCCTCCCACCTCATGCAATCGCAAGCTCATCGGAGCTTGCTACTTCTATACCGGCTACGAAGCCACCAATGACAAAATGAATAGCACCCTCGAGTATTGCTTCGCCAGAGACTCCGACAGCAACGACACCCACACCGCCTCCATCGCCGCTGGAAGGTACGTCTTCCGGGCCTCCACCATGGGCTACGCCAAAGTAATGGCTGCCGAGACGGCTCCCAACCCTTGCCTCGCTGTCTACAAGATCTGTTGGAACGCCGATTGCTACGACTTTGACATCCTGGTTGCATTCGATGTTGTCATGGCTGACGGTGTGGACGTGATCTCCCTCAACGTGGGGGGCGTGGTGGTGCCTTACCACCTGGACGTCATCGTTGTGGGGGCCTTCGGAGCCAATGAGGTTAGCGTCTTCGTCTCTGCCTCCGTGGGGAACGGCAACCCAAGTGGCCTGACGAGGACGAATGTGGTGTTAGTTATTTACGTGTCAATAATGCTCCTATATTATAGGGCTGAATGGGTCTTTTATTAGTTATTTTATTTACTCCTATTTTAGTGCCACTTAGTGTGTAGTGTCAGTTAGTTTGTTTCTAAGAGTCTGTAAGGCTTATATAAGCCATTCTTTACATTGAATAAAGGTCACAGGTATACAAACATTTTCTTGTGAGATTTACGTATACTTTGAGTTTCAATAATTGGTATCAAAGCTCCGTAAGGGGCCTAATCCAGTGCGTGAGTGAGCTATGTATGCGAAGAGGAAATATCCAGATCTAGTGTGAAGAGCAATCTGGTACAGAGTGTGGGCAACCTAAGTGAGAAGTGTGAGAGTAAGGATGTCTACATCATAGAAGTTTGTGCAACTAGCAATTCCAAGGTTTGATGGCCACTATGATTTCTGGTCCATGACCATGGAAAATTTCCTGCATAGTAAAGAACTGTGGCAACTAGTAGAAGATGGCATACCAACATTTGGAGCCACACCCATTGAGGCACAGAAGAGGAGTGCTGCTGTGGCGAATCTAAAGGATATGAAAGTAAAGAACTATTTGTTTTAGGTTATTGATAGAGAGATTTTTGAAACAATATTGGACAAAAGCACATCACAGGCGATATGGAGATCCATGCAGCAGAAATACCAA